CTCCGACTAGAGTAAACAACAAAATTCTCCTTCTGTCGTGGGAACAGCATCTGGCCCATATGTCCCCTACATCTGTCCGAACTGAAGTATGGGGGAAGATGCATGTAAAAAATAAATTGTACGCAATAAACATGGACTCTATGCCTAGCTCAGTGCCTTCATGCATTTTAAAGGTGCTTCTGTTTCACGTACTATATATGAGAGTTTGTGTATCTTTTGTGCCTGTTTGTTCAAGAATACCTCCTAAACCGTAAGAGCTAGGACCACCCAACTCAGTAGGCAACTTCCTCTTATCATAACTTAAGCCAAAATTGATTGTGCCAGGAAAATGGGATATGCCCAGGGACGGATTAAAACCTTTAGAGGCCCTAAGCACTGAAAAGATTATGGAGCCCCCCCATATGTTATTCAAAATAAAAACAATACTATACTGTAAAATCTCTCTCTTTTTTTTGTGCCCCTGCTTTGCTGGTGCCCTAAGCACATGCTTAGTCTGCCTATTGGCTAATCCAGCCCTAGATGTGCCCAGAATGGGATGGTTTCTCATAAAGCCATACACAAAAAAAGAGAGAGACAGAATAACCAGTTAGGTGGAAGGGCCTAGCTGGAGGTGACTCCCCCATCTGGGACTGCCCCAGCCCTGAGCCTCCTACCTCTCCAAGGCATCCTTTAAGAAGGCTGGGGATACTGAAGCTCTTCCCAATCCCCAATTCGTACAGGAACATTATTGGATGTTCTCCCAGAGGAAAGTGCACAGTTTGCTGCTTTCCTCACTCTAGCTGGGGAGCGCAGGGAGCAGATGAACCTGGACTTGCCCCAGCTGGGGGATATGCACCCTTCCCCTAGCTGTGCCCGCTAGAGCTGCAAACGTCATGGAGATGTTGCGCTGAGAGGTCTCTCCCTAGGGCACCCTGAGTACTGAATCCCTCATTTCAGTCCCACCATTTTATTTTCCAAAAAACAAAAATTAATTGAGTTAATTTACCCAAGCGATGTCAGGTAAATCTTCTAGTATATATAATATCATATGCAAAGCAGAGGACCACATAATTGGCTAGATAACTTTGCTCAGTTCTGAATTTAAATCTATTGCCAAATTAGAGGGAAAATAAAATAAAATAAAAAAGACATGTTACATAAAAATGCTGGGCAGAAAAGAGCATTCCAAACTGTTTCACAATCTTGTGGAAACCATTGACCAGTGCATTTGGGTGGTGTAGACACTTGTGAATAAAACATAGGCCCCCATAATTGCTTTGCTTACTCACGCGACGAGGAGTCCTGTGGCACCTTATAGACTAGTAGATTTATCGGAGCATAAGCTCAAAGACCTACTTCATCAGATGCTATGCATCCTCGTCGCTTTTGCAGATTCAAACTAACACAGCTACCCCTCTGATACTTTGCTCACTCAAACAACTAAAAATTACTCCTCCCACCCCCAAATGCCTGTTCCACTTTCCCCTTGTTGATTTTGTTTCTTGTGGGTGTCTGAGTAATACTAGAGGCATTTCCAGTTTTTAAGGCATTTGCTGAGTTTAAGAAATTCTCTCCCCCCCCCCCCCCCCTCCTCCCTTCCTCTCCCCTCCACTGGTTAACTTCTTTGTGGAGTCTGCTGCATTCAGCAAGAAGTCTTTATGGTATGCTATCGAGAGTTGGCCAGTAACAACTTCACTTTCACTCTCCATTCACTAGGCTGTCCACCCTCTCAAAACTAAGAATGGTCAAAATGTTTACAGTACAAGGCTTCAAGTCAAAACTTGCTATCATGTGTTCTGAAACATCATAAAGAACACTAATTTTCCTACAAGTGTTTGACTCAAAATGGGCAAGCAGTCCTCTGGATCTTAATTATATGGGTTCATATGAGTGCAGAACAGGGAGCCAAGACCTGTCTTTCAGGAATCGCTAGGAGGACTGTGGAATTCTATCCACAGAATGACTTTGCTCTCAGCCAAAATTTATTATAACCAGCTTTGTAATATCCATATTCTTATGCATGGAAAACAATTAAAAATCTTTCACTGTATTCAGTGATTGTGATGTTTCAATGAAGCCAAGTTCACCTCGCATCATTTTCCTCCGTCCTCCCACTTCTCCTCCCAAAAAAACCCCAAACACAAACCAGAAGACAAAAAGCATCTAAAACTGGCATGATGAAGAACTCACTAACTTTCATGCGATGCTCAAGAATAGTAACAGGACACAAAGAAACCTCAGGTTTGTATCCAAATATTTTAGACACCCATTTTCTTAAAGACAAAACAACTATGAATATGCTAGGAATGGACTGTCTTAACACACAAACTGGCTTCCGACCTGTCAGTTCTCCATCTCTCAGTGGAATAGTCATTTCACCTGCTTTTAGAATCCCTAATTTTAATGCTTATCTAATGCTTTCATGGCAATTAGCTCCCATTTTCAGGCAGTATTCTGCTGTGGCATTAAATAAAAACACAACCCCCCAACAAAACACACACTCCACTTCCACCAACATTGGTCAACAAACAGGCATATATTTCACAATGGCTGAGGTCATTCCCTTTTAGCAATTAGAGTTTGTGGGAGAGTATTGTTAGTGGTTTTAAACTTAGGTTTCTGCAATTGCAGTTATGCTTATTTATGCATTTAGAACACATGACCTAATACACTTAGGTTTAACTACTTCACTCTCTAGACATTCTTTCCTGACATTCTTTCCAAATTATAAAAGGATTCCTGGGGTTTTCACTCCTTTGGTAAAGAAAACTGCTGTCCAATAACTTCTTAAAAATACAGACTACAGCAAGGGTATTTATTTTTAAAAATAATGCAGGTGAAAACCATACACAAGACACACACACAGGTATATAAAAATGGCTATCAAAAGTCCACCTTCTCCACCCAATCTGATTGAATCTTTCATATTTCTAGAAAATAAAATAGTAGCAATACTTTGTGATTAGAGAACTGGGATTCTTTTCAGTGCGTACAATAGTTTAAGGAGAGAAATTCAGACTTTCACTTTTTCTGAAACAAATGTTTAAGCCCTTTATATGGTAATTTGTTTAATCTTCAAGGTGCTTTCCAAATTATGGGCCCAATTCTGCAAGCCCTCACGTAGGGAAAACTCCCAGTGAAGTGAGATAAAGTGTTGTTATAACAGACTGCAGGATTTGGACTTATTATTCAGTGTTCTAGTTAATGTCTACAATTGCTTTATAATGTCCTTCCTTCAGTACAAATTAAAATGTCATAGCTCAGTTTGGACCAGACCTTGTCTCACTGCAGTCAAAAGCCAAACTCCCCCAGTAGTAGAGAATTAGGCCTTTTGGCCCCAATTCAACGAAGATAATTCTATAGGATAACCCAGGTTCTCCTTGTAATATTAGGTCCCTTATTAATTCAGGGTTTTTTTTTTAAACCTACCCACATTTAACTGTCATACTTTTACTTCTCATACACTATATAAAATCTTTATTGCCCAGTGATTTTTGAGGTGTGGAGTTTTTGTTATGAAAAATAAAAATGAGCCAGTCTGTTGGTCATAAAGTAATATTTATTAGTCTCTCAATTGCAATCCTCTATTTGTCCTTGCTGAAGAAGAAACATAGAATCTAGGTGGGTTTTTTTTTTTAATTCAAACTAGAAAAAGCCACAAAACATTCCCCTTTCCTCAAAGATAAAAATGTAGATCTTGAGTAGTGCGGGAATTAAGTGACTATTTAAGTGAGAACTGGAAAACAGAGCTTCTAAGGAGTTCCTTTGAATGCTATGTGTATCTTATTATGCATGTGGCCGTGCATTTATTTTAACTGGCACACTGATGAAACATTCAGAAAGACTGATTTGTTTAAGAAATTGTTTGATTCTGCAATTCACTTAATGTACTCTACTATTTCTAAATATTTCAAATCCAGCACACAAGTTTGAGCATGCTTCCAACCCAGCACAAGTATGCCCACCAAGTCCTAAATAACCTTCATAATGAGATTAAAAAAAAGAGATGACTTCTGCTACTTTCCTAAAGTTCCCCTTTAATTTACAAACTAGCCGTGTAAGATGAAAATGGAGATAGACAGCAGGTTCACAGAGTACAGAACAATGTGGTATAAGAACAAAAAAGTTTTGTACACATCTCAAGTTTATGGTTCTGTATCTTCACATTTCTGAACGATATCTTGAATTAGTGTTAAACCATTATGGGTGACATGATCAGGTACTACGGGCACCTCACCCAAACCTTTTCTATTCTCAATTTTTAATCCACCTTTCCTAACTAGAGAGACTACCTGAATCACCTATAAAATAAAAACCTAGTTTAACATGTTTCACACTACACTTTACTAGACTTACCCCTTTGTGCAGAGCCTCTGCACATGAATGGAAGAAAAATGTACTAAATATATTACATTCAAATAGTTTACGGTGATAAAGTGGGATGGAAGAGACCAATGAAGATGTCATCTGTATTTCACAGCTCACAAAAAAAGAAAAAATAACCTCTTATGAACTCTGGCATTCCAGCCATGCTATTAAACAGAAATTATTCCTTCTGTGCTAACAAATCATGTACAGCACAGCTCAGTAAAACAGCTGTTAAATAAACTTGTTTATATGCTGCTGCTCTTAGTATTGGGAGTTAAGCAGTTACACATTAGATAATTTAGATGGGAAAGAGATAATCCTGTTAGTGTTTCTCCCCTTTAATTGATGAACTATTAGGCCAAGTATTTTAAAATAAAGCATAAAGATACACAAGTAAAGCCAGAGTATCATACAGTAGATTAATCAGAGGACTGGTCATTTAAAATGAAAGAAGATGCAGTTATGTGTGGCAGCAGACAGAATCTCTTGCCATATTTTAGATTTGATTCTTCTCCCATTCTGCTTTTACATCAATGGAACTTCAATAGAACGATCAAAGAGGAGAATCAGGCCTTTTTTATTAACTGTAGGTCCAATCAGCACAAAATAAATTATTTTGCAACCAGAATAAGGAAAATTTTCCTTTAACATACCAGTGCCATCCGATCTTCTGACAAGCCGAAGTCGCTGCGAGCCCAGAGTAGTGACGCACTCTTGTCACAAACATGTGGCTGCAGTTTTTTGCCAGCTAATTGAGGGATTTATTCTCACCTGTTATTCTCACCCTGATTAACAGGGTGTCTGTTAATCATCATTACACAAGTTAAGATCAATAAATAAAGAAGAAAAGGCATTGTTTTAACTACTATTAAGTTGCCATCACCAATTGTTTTCAGATTGTTACCGTTATTGGCTAAAAGGTCCAAACAAAAAGCATCTGACAGAGAGACCATCCTTGTCATTATGGAGGAGAAAAGGGGATTTTTCTGTTGCCTGTTCAGGGTTTGCTTAGCTCTAAATCCTATTCTTACTGCTCCCCCTAGTAAGCGAAGAGATTTGTTTGATTAACCCAATCACTACTTTTTTAAAAACACATTTTAAAACAAAAACACTGAATAATTCTCCATCTAATTTTTTTTAGGGTATGCATATGATGGTTTCACAGATCTAATTTTTAGTTTCAGATATTATGTATATTTAGCAGATGTTCCGCTCTGTTGTATTTTTTTCTGTTTTTGTTGTAGAGAAATTTAATGAGAAGGTACCAGATTAACAACCCTGAGACTGACATCCACAGTTTATCCATAAAAGATAGGCAACGGCAATACAACTACACAGGCTACCTGACCCACAGGGAACATTAATTTGACTATCATATTTGAAAACAAGATTCATTGATTAGGTCATACACATTATGAACAAAATTTGAATTTGCAATTGGATTTACTGTTAAGAACAAATGGTTAAATTAAATCGGGCAACATTAATTGCAAACTATTTTCCAGATATTTTTAAAAATATTTTTATTTTCACTTAAATGTTTTTTCACTGCACAAAAAATCTTAACAGTCATTTCAACATATTAAAGTATAACAACCTGTGAATTTACTGCAGAAGGGGTTTACTGCAAAGATTAAGTAATCTTCAACACTGTTCTAGTTGGATACTCCAGCTGAAGACACCTTAAAAACATCTGGCTATTGAAAAGTCTGGCAGAGAGGAAGCTAATTTTACTGAAGAGAATTATAACCAATTTCAGATTAAGTGCTGTACCACTGCATGACAAATAGCTGAGAAGGCGGCAGAGAATTATGGAAATCTGTTTAACAGATTTCTGTTTAAAATGTGTTTTGTCTATAAACACACAAAGGCCCTACAAAACAGGCACATTCTTAACTTTAAGCATGAGTAGTCAGTCCCATTGTAGTCAACAGGACTACTCGTGCTTAAAATGAAATAAGTCCATTCATGTTTGCGGGAATTATACCTATTTTAAGTCATTTGTTCTTTAGCAAAAACTAAGTGTCCATCACAGTTATCTAAGCACAATTCAGTAACACCAAGCATAAATTTGTCAATACTTCAGTGTGCCTTGTTACCATAGTGCATGTCTGAATTTAACACGTCTGTATAATAGTAATGTCTGCACGTGTTGTAACTTAGTATAGATTCTTAGAGTTTCTCTCCAACTAACATTTTATTCCTCCTAAATGAAGCTCTCTTATAATGAAATTTAAAATGACAAAGGTTGTGACATTTTTTAAACAATAGCGCATTTAGACCCTTTCAACCAAATTATGGTCTTACAATTAGCAAGTCATGGGGATCTGGTCTCACTGAAATATTTAAAAACAAAATGGTGGTGAGGGAATACAAATGATAATGTTTAATAGATAAATGTATAACCTGCTGTTGTTTATTTGAATAAATCTGTCACATGAACAATTTGATTTTAATTAATTTTATTATTTAAGATAAAATCATGAAGTACTCTTTTGAGAGGATTTTTCTGGCTTTTTTGGATTTTGGAGAGTAGTTTGTTAAAAAACAATCATCAGGGTTATTGGCTGTAATACGCCTCTCCAAATGAATTTAAAATGTGATTTTTGAAAGATGATATTGGAACATATTCAATGCTACAAATACTTACAACTCTGTAGGACAACCATCTTGAAGTCTCTCATAATCACACTTACAATATTATGGGCCATCAATTGTTAAGCAGAAATGGAAATTATTTGTCTTTAAAAAGTGATGGTGCAAGATAGCCCAGAAAAAGAATCAGCCTGTCCTAGATTTTTAAATCTAACATCTTAGCGCCGTTTAAGCTGTTTTTAATTTGGAAACAAACAAACAGGTTAAATATCTGCTATCATCTTGGGCTCAGCATGCAGGAACGTTCAAAAATGTCCAATACATATGAATTGCAGTGTCACATGAAAATAGAAGTCCTCGGTGTATTTGGAAACTATGAATGACAAAATACTCCATTAAAAGCATTCCAAAAGAGGAAAATTCTCAGTAAACCAACCAGCAAATTCTATTAAGTCTGAACAATTAAACCATTTTGTCCAGTTACATTAGGAGTGTTAAGGAATATGCATGTCTGATACTCTACCAAACAAAACAGTTGTTAATAAATTGGATGTAGACCAATAAGAGTTTAATTAACCATGTGTTTTAACAATTAAAATTTCATCCAAGAGGAACATATTAAATCAATAGATTAGTTATTTGAAATACAGCAGCTGTATACCTGAAATAATTTCTTTTAGCAGTATTCTCTGAATTAAACAAGCTGTGTTTAAGCGTATAAATCACACTAAAGGTTTTCCCCCTCTGTTCACTGAGAACAAAGATTTTGTATTACTTAATTTTATTTAAGTCTATAATTAAGTTACTTAGTTGTGGTTTGTAAATAAACTTGTTTTACACTAGTTAAATGCCTTGCATAGTGTTTCTTAAAAACGCCAGTTAACTAATTTAAACTAATTCCAGATATAAAACGTTAAATCTTATGCACCAGTACTACATTTAAAAAGCCATTGCAGAATTGATGACAATGTTTTTGCAATGCAGTTTTCTGACATTTTTTAGGTTACTTTTTTTGGGGCACGAAGGTATTCAGTACATCAAGCCTAAGCTAACATTTTACAACTTCACATTGCAGTAATTTCTAATTACTTTATTTTGATGTTCTTTTAATGGTCTTGTCTCTGTTCAAACTGCTTCCTAGCATGAGTGAAACGTCTCCAAAACAAAACAAGGTATTATCTTGTGTTCTGTATTGCTGTAATAGGGAGCTTTAAATCTGAAATAAGTTATCACCCTACTTTAAATGTATGCCAATGAACCCAAAATAAGAATGCAATTACATTTACAGAATAAAAAATAGCCAGAGCATTTGCAGAGTGGAAGTATAAATAGAAGTACTTGCATCTTAAGCATTATTATGGACAAATAACTGGTACTTTAGAATGGAAATGAAAAACGTATCAAATTGCTCTTTAGTGAAGGAAAAAATCTCTACTTTTGTATACTAAGTTTTACTGTCTGTCCACACACAGTCACACTCTTTTCCCACATGATTCAAAACTACTGATGCATAGGGTAAATCACACCATTATCGACTTATAGCAAACAAATATTTCACTCCAGCTCATCTGATGAAAGTGGGTTTTACCCACGAATGCTCATGGTCCTATACCTTTGTTAGTTTCTAAGGTGCCACAGGACTACTCATTGTTTTTAAAATTACCCCATGTGTTCACAGAAAACTGAGAAAGCAGAATCAATATTCACCTACCCATAATGGCATGAGGCTTAACATTAATTCAGTACTCCGCTCTCCCGCTTCCAGCCCCATGAGCGAACTAGTGTCACCAAGGAAGATTTCACCCACAAAGAACTCCCTTCCTACTCTTATCAACACTATTTAACCCCCCTGCTCAGTCTCGTTCGACTCACCCTCCCTGCCTTTTGCAAACTGCTCCAAAACCATACGAGGACTGAGCAAACAACAGCGTCATTTCCACGCTCATGAGTTTGATTTTCTGTTAACTGCTTAACCAGTGTAAAATGCCACCGATTCTCCTACCGGCTGCTGCCCCTCGCCGGGGTGGGCAAGGGCAGGGAGAAATACCGCAGCGACCCAGGCACGCCGCGGGCAAGTCTCTGCTTTTAGGAAGTGGAGGGAAGAATTTTTTCCAAGCGCGGCTCCTGCGAGGAGACAAGGAGCGTGTGCCACGACCATGCGGTCGAGTGTGACAGTTTCCTCTTCCTTCCCTGCGATGGGGCAGGTTGGGGGTATTGGTCTGGGGAGATGCACTGGCCGGGCTCCCCACGCCCCGCTCCCCAGCCCTAAGAAACAGAAGGCGGCAGCATGGGAAGGACCGGAGCTGGGTATTTCATCCCAGCGCCCAAACCCGGTGCGTAGTGCCCGCTGGGCACATGTGCCTGGACAAGGGCGTGGGGAGCCGTGCCTAAAGCATCCCTGGCCTCTCCCCGCCCCGAGCAAGGGCCGGTGCCCAGAGCTCCCCAATGCCCCTCTCCGTTCCACCCCGGAGCCAGCGCACTGGCAGGGAAAGGGGGCGCACTCACCACCGGCTACGGACGGTGTTCGCCCCGGGGCTCTCAGCTTCCTGTCCCCGCAGCGCCCGCCAGGGGAGGGAGGCCGGGGCAGCTGCTGCGCGGCTGGGAACTCCAGAGCCGGTGTAAGAGCAGCCTCTGCCTGGTTTCCCAATGTGCCCTCCAAACTCCTGACACAGCCCCAGTGAGCATGTGCGGAGTGTGTGTGCACATGCCCGCTGGGAGAGTGACGCCTCTGCCCTTACCTTCTCCCCCGCCAGGAGTCCTCGAGCGACCCCGGAGCGCAGGGCTGCTGGGGAGACGGAAGGGCAGGTGTTAGACAGCGGTGTCACAGAACTAGCAGGGGATTGCAGCGCTCTGGTGCGCCTCTGCAGTACTGGAGCAAAGGATGCGGGGGGCAGGCGTGGTCCCTAGAGTGAAGTAAAAGTTGGAGCCAGACTTAATAACCAACACCCCCATAAAATCATGAGAGGGGTTGAAAAAAATCCCCATAAAAACAATATTTTGGGATTTATTGTCGCTTGCCTGCTAGCTTGGAGCCTGTAGGGCGCACTTAGGCTTGAAAATGTGACCCTTCTCCTCCCACACGAGTGTTAGAAAAGAGAGAGAATTCGGAGAGAGAATTCTGAGCGCCTCAGGGAATCAATTGCTTGTATCCAAAAGCTGAGATCAGAGGGAAATCACCAAATATGACAACTCCTTGCCATAAAAAAAGCCACCAAAGTTGGCAGCACTCAAGAGCTGTTACCCCAATAATGATTTCATGGTGCCGTCAAGAAGTTTTCATAGGGTGAGATACACAGGGTTGTTCCATGTACATTGTGCAAATGTGTCTGCTAATATATAGAATATATTTTTACTCTTAATTGTCTTTCATATTACTCTGCATTCCTCTTAATTATCATTCTTGATTGTATTTATTTTGATTTTACTGACAATTGTTTAGCCTATTATTTCCCTCTTCTGAATTCATAATGCTTCTGCTGCTGTTGTCAAACTTGCCTCCTATTATAAAACGTTGTTTGGCTAAAGAAGGACCTTTACAAAATGTGGCAAAACATAACAAAAACCAATAAATGTTTTCCATCATTTAGAAATGCATAATAGTATA